GGGTTGTTATAAACAATCTCAGCTTTGGGTTTGTTTTGTTTTGTTTGATTGGAGGGGGAGGAGTTTTAAAACTTAAGTGGATATAGGAGAACACTTATCAAAGAAATGCAAAGGAAAAGAAGAATGGTTCTACAGATCTCCTCTGCTAGATCTAAGAGAACTTTACTTGTCAAGATACCTAAATTAAGAGCTCCAAACACTCCAGAAAGAACCACTAACCAAAATTTTACCCTTACCTTGTTTTTATTTTCTAGTTTAACCACATGTTGATTTCTCTAAACTAGATATTTTTTAAAGGTTTTTCTTTTTTTATTTTTAGAAGGAGGGGAAGGGAGGGAGGAAGAGAAAAAAACATCAATGAATAGTTGCCTCTCGCGCACCCCCTACTGGGAACCTGGCCCACAACCCCAGGCATGTGCCCTGACTGGGAATTGAACTGGCAACCCTTTGGTTCACAGGCTGGCACTCAATCCACTGAGCCACACTAGCCAGGGCTAAACTAGGTATTTTTGAACTTTATACTGTATATATTCTTTTGAGATTTTCACTGAGATTTTCAACATCCTCACCTGTGGCTATGATTCTTATTTTAAAAAATTCATTCTGTAATGGATTAGAACAATCCAAAGCCTGTTAACTGCCCCCTTTTGTTTCCAGTTACAAACATTGCTGTGAACATTCTTTGGCATTCTTCTGGTGCTCATGGACAAGAGATTTCCCAGGGAATATATTTAATAATGAAATTACAAGGTGTCATAGGAATTGTATTGTGTTGGCCAAACAGTCCATTTAGTTTTTTTTCCAAAAATAAAAGAAACATTTTTCATTTTCACCAATCACTTTATTGATTTGGATATTTTGAGTATGTCGGCTATCTCCCATTATTAGCTCTTAGTGGGTTGAGCCCAGGGGTGCTGCTAAACATCTTCCAGTGCATAAGACAGCCCCACAGCAAAGAATTATTTGGCCAAAATGTCAGTAGTACTAAGGAACTTTGCAAACTATTTTTGACACAATCGATCAGTCACAGCACCTTCTCCATGCACTGCACAAATCTTTTTTTGGATATCAGTTGCATTTTTATCTTTCTTGAAGTAATAGTGCCAGCCTGTGAACCAAAAGGTTGTTGGTTTAATTCCCAGCCAGGGCACATGCCTTGGTTGAAGGCCAGGTCCCCAGTTGGGGGCATGCAAGAGGCAACTGATTGATGTTTCTCTCCCTCTCTTCCTCGCTCCCTTCCCCTCTCTCTAAAAATAAATAAATTAAAAAAAAATTTTTTTAAAGCCCCAGCTGGGGTGGGTCAGTGGATTGAACACTAACCTGCAAACCAAAGGGTCACTGATTTGATTCCCAGTCAGGGCACATGCCTGGGTTGCGGGCCAGGTTCCCGGTTGGGGGCACATGAGAGGCAACCACACATTGATGTAGCTCTCCCTTTCTTTCTCCCTCCCTTCCCCTTTCTCTAAAAATAAATAAATCATTTTTAAAAAAAAGAAACAATAAAGCATGATATGCTGAAACATTCTGTATCTTCTTCCATCTTCAATATTAAAATGGCTGCACAAAAATTTACCAATTTTGATGTTTTTTTAAATACACACATATGACAGCTGTCACAATACAATTTAACAAAATTGTTTTGAATGAAGTTAAAAACAGCTGAACACTACTAGAGCCATCGTTCAGAAAAAAACGGAGTGGACTTTTTGGCTGACCCAATACATGTTTAACTTGACTAGAATGTGAACATTTTCAAAGTGGTTGTACTAATGTTTGTTCCCCCCAGCAGAATAGAAGTGTTTCTGTCACTCCTTATCTTCATTAACAATTGGTAAAGTAAAATGTTAACTTACAATAGTTTTATTTGCATTTCTTTGATGATGTATGAGATCAAGCATCTTTTTATATAGTACTTGATCATTTGTGTTTGTTCTTTGTAATCCCCACTGAGGTCTTTGACCGTTTTCCTATTGGCAGTTGGTCATTTTCTTACTGATATATGAGAGCTCTTAACCCATTTGGAATACCCAGCCTCTGTTATGCATGTTGCATGTGTCACCAGTTTCTGAGCCTTGTCTTTTTCCATCACTCTAGGGTATTAAAGGGTGGAGGAAAGTCTGAATACTAATGTGGTTGAATTGGTTAGGGTTGTGTGTGTGTGTTCTGTGTGTGTTTTAAGAAATTGTTTTCTACTCTGAGCTCATAAAAATATTCCTCTGTATTGTCTTCCAGAGACGTTTTTCCTTTTGCATTTGTCTTTAAACTCTCTGAAATTTATTTTTGTGTGGGATTCTGTAGAAGAGATTCGATTTTTCCCCCCCCTACATATGAATAATCACCTGTCCTAACACCATTTATTGTGTTTCCTTCTTTCCCCACTGGTCTCTAGTGACCTTGCTGTCATGTAACAGATTTCAACCTGTGTGCTTCTATTTCTGGGCTTTCTATTCTGTTCCACGGGTCAGTTTGTCTCCATGCCAATACCATTCTATCTTAATTACTGTAGATTTATAATAGCTCTTGACATGTTAAGCAAATTCCTCCGTCTTGTTTTTCTTCAGGAATATCCTGGCTATTCTTGGCACTTTGCAACTTACACAAAAATTTGAGTCAGCTTACCATGTGCCACAAAAAATTGCTTCGTGATTTTGATTAGAATTGTGTTGAATCCTCAGATCAATTTGGAGAGAATTGACATTTTATTAGTTGAAGCTTCTAGTTTGTGAACTAATTTGCTTTCCTAAACTTCTTTTTTTAACTCCTCTCCATCCATTCAAAAATTTTTGTTAGACTTATTCATAGGCACTTTTTAACAATTCTGTTGCAAATGGTTGCCTCTCGCTCACACCCCAACTGGGGACCGAGCCCACAACCCAGGCATGTGCCCTCACGGGGAGTCAAACCAGCATGGCCTTCCAGTGTACAGAACAATGCCCAGCCAATGGAGCCATGCCGGTCAGGGCTGCATGTACAATTTAGTGGCCTTCAGTATATTCACATTGTTATGTACTCATCACCACTATCCGTCCCCAGAATTTTTCTGTCATCCCACCCTGAAACCCTGTACCCATTAAACAGTACTTCCTTCCAACCAGCCCCTGGGAATCACTACTCTTCTTCCTTTTTTTTTTAATGAATCCAACTAATCTAAATGCCTCACATAAGTGGAATCATAAATGGTGTACTTTTTAACAATACTTTTTTTTGGAGTGAAGAAACAAAATATTTTATTAAATTGGTTTTTATATTTAGCAACCTTACTTAAAATACTTAGTTTAATAATTTAGCTTTATTTAGGTTTTCTACATAAACAAGCATATCACATAAGAATAAAAAAGGCTTTTTCAACAATAAATCTGCCCGTTGAGTTTTAAATTTCAGTGTTATTTTTGAATATTTATATTTTTTTGGTTCATTTTCCAATCTGTTGCCTCTTCTCAGGCTTCTTTTATTTCTTTTTACCTATTAAGTATTATTTGATATACAATTCTGATATAAACTCTTTAGCAGAGTGATTCTGCTGTTTCTGCTACTTCTTTAGTAGTGCTGTTTTTCGTGTGTAAACTAAATTCTTGACTTGAGAAACCATTTGGGAATGATTTGGTAGTCTGAATTTGGGCTCTCCACTTAATAAGATGGCTGGGTTGGTTTGTGATTATGACTTTTCAGGGGTTTTTGTTACTCTTTTGTGCTGCAGGGGAGAAGGAGTTTTACTAGGGCAAGTTTTTGTTATCCTCTAGGGAGAACTTTTAGCTCACCCATACATTAAGGATATATATTAAGTCCTCACTTCATGTCATCAGTAGGTTCTTGGAAGCTGCAGCAAAATCAGTTTTATCATAGGCTAATTGATAAAAACTAGAGTTATGCTATGGCATGTTTTTTTATCACAAAAACATCACCAAACCTAAATAAAGACCCAAAATATATCTAATGCTAAACATTGAAATAAATGTGAGCTATACAGACGTTTAAGAAAGATGAATGAAAACACGTATGATCATCTTTTCCAGCGTGCTGATTTCAGTCCAGGTTGGTGGGTGGCTGGAGTCTCTCCCAGCCCCTCAGGATGCAAGGTGGGAACCAATCCTGGACAGGACCCCTTCCCATTGCAGGGCCACTCACACCCACACTCAGCTCAGACTGGGACAGCGTTGGCAACCCAGCTCACCTCACGGCCACATCTTTAGGATGTGGGAGGAAACCAGAGTCCTCAGAGAAAACCCATGTAAACATGAGCAGAAGGTGTCAACCAACTCCACACACAGCGGCCCCCTGCCCAGAATCGATTTAATTTTTTCTCATGAGTATTATAATGACATGGCATTATTGGAGGACCTGATAACTTAGGGTCTCAGCTCTATGAAGAGCTGCCTGTTAAGACACTCTGCCTTTAGCAGATCTTAGTCTTTGCTTTTGTTCTTTGTCTTAAAATGCTATGGAAATCTAAGCTCAGATTTTCACCTGCTTCGGCAAATAAATGCCCACCCAACTGCTTCAGTGATTCCAGTTACTATTTTCTCTTTCCCTTGGTTTTCACCCTCTTGCTAGCTCATCAAATCATTGTTTTAAATTGAGATAACATTGGTTTATAACATACAAGTTTTAGGTGTGCAACATTATAATTTGATATCTGTACACACTATAGCATGCTCACCACCAAAAGTCTAGTTTCCGTCTGTCACCATATATTTGACCCCCTTTACCCGTTTCACCCCCTTCCTACCTCCTTCCTCTCTGGTAACCAACCACCCATCTATTGTTGTGTCTGTGAATTCGGTTTTTTAACATTTTATCAAACATTTTAAGTATTTTCATTAAGTGTAAATCAGTAACAAACTTACTATATTGTTGGATATTCCTGTATCATTTTACTTTGTTGTTTTAGTCATTTTGAAAAGGAAATACGGGGTTAAATGAACACCTTAAACATTTATAAACATGACATGGAGAGTAGCCTTTTGCAGCTGCTAATTAACGATTTTTCTTTTTTTTTATAGGTGTCAGCTGTGATGCATGTTTAAAAGGAAATTTTCGAGGTCGCAGATATAAGTGTTTAATTTGCTACGATTACGATCTTTGTGCGTCTTGTTATGAAAGTGGTGCAACAACAACAAGGCATACAACTGACCACCCAATGCAGTGTATATTAACAAGGGTAGATTTTGGTACGTATTAAATAAAATTTTAGTGAATTGTCATTGAAAATTTTATGTGTATGTGTGTGAAATAAAGGCAAAATGTTCTGAAACTAGATCCCCAGTAGTATACATGAGGCTCCAAATTTATTAAAAATAACATGAATCTTACTTTTATAAATTCTGAGTAATTCTTTCTCCTCATCATAGTTTACTCATTTATCAAAGCCATTCAGAAATATATATAACTGATAAGATATGAAATGGAAGAGTGCCTCAGTGAAGAAGGGACAAAGTGAAACTGACAGTTCTTGCTAATAGTACACAGGTGTTCTTGCTTTAGTTATCAGGAAGTAGATTATTTCTACAACTGATTGGAAGATATTGTCAGTCCATAAGAAAATGTTTCATTGCTATCGTTTCTTACACAGTCAGCACTTGTTATGATCTGTCTTTTTTATTATAGTCACCCAAATGGGTGTGAAGTGGTGGTATCTCACGTGGTTTTGATTTGCATTTCTCTGATGGCTAAAGTTGGTAACCATCTTTTTTTGTGCTTATTAGCCATTTGTGTATCTACCTGCTTTGGAGAAATGTCTATTCAGATCCTTTGCAAGTTTTTTAATTGGGGGATATATCTTTTTATTACTGAGTTTTAATAGTTGATTGTATGTTCTGTATACAAGTTCCTTATCAGATGGATGATTTGCAGAAATTTCCTCCCATTCCATAGGTTGAGTTTTCACTTTCTTGATGGTGTGTTTTGAAGCACAACAATTTTAATTTTGATGACTTCCAATTTATCTTTTTTTCCTTATTATGTGCTTTTAGTATCACATCTAGAAAACCTATTGCCTAATTTGAGATCACAAAGATTCAAAACTGTGTTTTCTTCGAAGAGTTTTATAGTTTTAGCTTTTACATTTAGAGTTATGATCATTTTTATTTAATTTTTGTATATGGAATGAGGTTAAATTTTTTGCATGTAGATATTCAGTTGTCCTAGCATCCCTTGTTGAAAAGACAATTCTTTTACCCAATGAATTGCCTTGTCATTCTTGTTGAAAATCAGTTGGCCAGGGGGAGGAGGAAATAGGGTGATGTTGGTCAAAGAGTACAAAGTTTTGTTATGCAAATGAGTAAGTTCTAGAGATGAATAAATTCTGATGTACAGCATGGTGACCATAGTTAGCAATATTGTATTCTGTAGTTATGTGTATAGCTACACATAATGGTAGCTATATAGAAGTGGTGGCTATGTTAATTAGTTTGATTGCAATGATCTTTCTGCAGTGTATACATATATTAAAAACATCAAGTTGTACTATTAATACATACCATTATTAATTGTATGTAATACATACAACTATTAACATATACAATTTTTATGTTAAAGATATCTCAATAATGCTGGTAAAAAAAAACTCAGTCTGTCATAAATGTGAGGGTTTATTTCTGAATTTTCAAGCTATTTCATTGATTTATATATCTTCATACCACTGCCACACTGTCTTGAATAACTGTAGCTTTGTAATAAGCTGTGAAATTGAGAAGTGTTACTCTTCCAGCCTTGTTCTTTTACAAGATTATTTTGGGTATTCTAGATCCCTTGAGTTTCTGTGTGAATTTTAGGATCAGTTTGTCAAATTTCTGCAAAGGAGCCAGTTGGGATTTTGGTAGCGATTGTTTTGAATCTATAGATCAGTTTGGAGAGTTAAAATCTGTCAGTCCATGAACATGGGATATCTTCCTGTTTAATTAGGTCATCTAAATTTTTTTCAACAATGTTTTATAGTTATCAGAGAATAAGTTTTATACTTCATTAGATATATTTCTAAGTACTTTATTCTTTTTGCTATTGTAAATGGAATTTTTAAAATTTTATTTTTGTATGGTTTGCTGCAGGTATATAGAAACACAACTGGTTTTTATATCTAGGACTTGTATCCTGTGACCTTACTGATCTCGTTTATTACTTTTAATAGTTTTTTCTTGTGGACTCCTTAGGATTTTCTGTATATATGTCATGTCATTTGCTAATAGAGGTAGTTTTACCTCTTTTTTTCCCTTCTGGATTGCTTTCATTTTTATTTTCTTCCCTAATTACTTTGGTTAGCTCCTTCAGTAAAACACTAAATAGAAATGGCAAGAGTGGACATTCTTGTTTCCGGTCTTAGAGGGAAAGAATCCAGTCTTTCAGCAGTATGATGTTACCTGTGCCTTTTTTGTAGATTCCCTTTAACAGGTGAGGAAGTTCTGTTATTTTTTTATATTAGCCCCACTTACCCTAAATTCACCTGGCAGGTCTTATGAACAATATATACGTAGCAGGTACTTATTTTTAAGACAGTCTGAATTTCCCTAAAAATGAATGTGAACAAATCATATAGTGAACACTTCCTTCCATTTTCTCCTCTGACAAAAATGATCATATCCTCTTAAATTTAGACATTTGTTTCATGTTAAATAATGAGATAGTTCTTTGTAATGAAGCAACATAACCTACTAAATATAGCACTTTCAATTATATTTTTTATGTCCTACTAATGGAAGATAATAGGCTTATTCCTTAGGATGTACTAATGAGGCAAACAGATTATTCCCACAGACTTACTAAGTGGTTGGTTCTTCACTAACCCACATTGAGCAGTGTATTCTGTCACAGTGCCTTATTCAAGTAAACACTATAAGAACTGAATGCTGAGTGTCCTTCCTGCTGTAAGAATGGTATATATTCTACAGACAAAACTGCGGCTGGGAGTTAGTGTGTTGATCATGTTGTTAGTTCTTTCCCTTTGAGCACTTGTATTCTTGAATATGATACACCTTGCTGATTTCTTTGTGTTGACATTGGTATTGCCACAGTATATACAGAGGAAAAGTAAATTACAGTAAAATTAGAACTGGATGTGAAATGAGAGATATTTTGACATTAAATGAAGGGATTAAAAGCTCTGCTTTGTTTTTCTCTAAAGGCTGTAATGGCTATAATGGAGAAGGAAATTGGAGGGCTGTCATGGAATCCTTGTGAGAATAAGGATGTTACAGATGGAAACAGGGAGGTATCTAAGCACTCATTGACAGAGCAAGGTTGTTGGTGGAGATTTCAGGCACACTTAAAAAAAAACACACTTTGGTGCCATATGATTACATTTTTATGTATTTAAAAAATTAATAGTTATTTCTCAATTCAATTCCACTTCATTTTTCAGATTTGTACTATGGCGGGGAAGCTTTCTCTGTAGAGCAGCCACAGTCTTTTACTTGTCCCTATTGTGGAAAAATGGGCTATACGGAGACATCTCTTCAAGAACATGTTACGTCTGAACATGCAGAAACATCAACAGAAGTGGTAAGTAAAGCAGCCTTGTATCTAAAATGACATTACTTCTAATAATAAATAATGCTAGGTCACTATCATGTACATTCTCCTAGGTGTGCATAATAATATTAAAGGTATCTTTTAACAGCAATTTTACACATCTTAGGAGGCAGCATGTGTACAAGATAATGCCGCTCATTTGTCCACACTATTCATTTTTGCCCTGTTGCTAAAAAGCAGAGTGTTGAATCTTGACCAAATTCAGAAGTTTTCAACAAATGCATTTTGAAAAGATTAAAAGCACCTCGGCCCACAGCGCAGCTCTTTTTATAGTATTCTTGCTACCTGCCTTTTTTTTTTTTTTTTTTTTTCTTTCTTTAAGGAAACCTTCAAAGAAAATTTTAAAATCTTTGGACACACCCTGGTTGGTGTGGCTCAGTGGGGTGAGCGCCGGCCTGTGAACTGAAAGCTGCCAGTTGGATTCCTGGCCAGGACACATGCCTGGGTTGTAGGCCAGGTCTCCAGTTAGGGGCATGCAAGAGGCCATCGATCGATGTTTCTCTCCCTCTTTTTCTCCTCCCTTTCTCTCTCTAAAAAAATAAGTAAAAAAAGAAAAATCTTTGGTTACATATTAAGTAGTAATCCATTGTTACATCTCATTGATTTACTTGGTTTTCATCAAGTCAGATCTCTTACTTCATAGTTCAAAGTTCTGAGGTCCCTAGAAGTTGCCAGTACTCTGATCTTTTCCGGTGGCTAAAAGCCAAAGACTCAGAATAGTACAGAAAGGAAGTCTTGCCCTGGCTGGTGTGGCTCAGTGGATTCAAGAATGCCAAGACAATTCACTGGGCCCGCTGGTTTGATTACTTGTCAGGGCACATGCCTAGGTGGCAAGCCAGGTTCCCAGTGGGGGGCGTGTGAGAGTCAACCACACATTGATATTTCTCTCCCTCTCTTTTCTCCCTCCCTTCCCCTCTGTCTAAAAATAAATAAATAAAATCTTTAAAAGAAAAGAAAAAGTCTTGCTTTGAAGGCTTTTTGGATACTTTGCTTGACATCTGATTCAGCATATATCCAACCTCAAGAGATGATAACAGTACACCCAAGAGTCCCCTTTCCCCCCTTTATCATTGTTAATAATAAAGTAAGAGGTGAGAGCCCTGGCTGGTGTGACACGGTTGGAGCATCATCCAGTAAACCAAAAGGTCACAGGTTTGATTTCTGATCAGAGCACATAGGCAGGTTGTGGGTTTGGTACCCAGTCGGGGCTTATGTGAGAGGGAACCGGTCAATGTTTCTGTCTCACATTGATGGTTGTCTCTCACTCCCTTTCCTCTCTCTGAGATCAGTAAGCATCTCCTCTGGTGAAGACCAAAAAATAAATAAAGTGAGAGGTGAGAAATGGAACTGTTGGTATGGAATTTGGAGAATTTCGGTTCATGCAGTTGTACACTGCACCAACTAATAAGCCCCTAAATGTACTCAAAACAAATTAACTGAAACTGAAAAGAAACAAAATAGTGTATCCTAGTAAGGGGTGGAGCCAGGTGCTTAAACTCAGCCAGAGTCCCTCTGAGTTGTAGCGTCTCTTCTTAACCACGGTCGTATTTTGTCTCCACTACAGCTTTGCTGTTACACCTGTGAATAATACAGGTTCACGTTCATTCCTATTGACATTGCTGTTTTGATGCTTAAAGTCATTGTTTGTTTATCATTCCAACAGGTGGTAAATTTACCTTATTTAGTCCTTAAGCCAAAATTTATTGTCTGATGGCTCAGAAATGCTCTTATCATGCATGTTGGGAAAAGTTGTCACATTTCATTATTGTTCTTAATTCGTTCTTTTTATTCTGTGAAGGTGACTTTCCTTCCTTTTGGTACGGTTCCAGATGCCAGTATGAAAAATGCTGACTTGATTGCACCTACATTCTAGGTGTTGTGGAAAACGTGGAATAAGTTCTCTTTGATTTCATTCCTGTCAAATTTCGGTACTTTATTTACCTAGATACAGTAAAGGAGAGGTTTCTCTTACTGCGAACTACGCATTCTTAAAATCGTTATTAGCCAACAGACTCTAGTATACTTTCACCCCCCGACCAGGGCTGTTTCTCACATCCGAAATTGGAGAATCCAGTAGAAATTTAAGTCCTATCCTTGAATGAAAAGCTAATTATTCATTCTTTTAGAATAAGAATTAATCCCCACCAGCCTTGTCGTATTTTTTTTTCCTAAAAATAAGTACAATTTTACACTCCTCTATACCCAATACATGGTTTGAAAATTAATTACTGACCACCTAAAGTGGTTTTGTGGTCTGGCTGTCATAGTTATGTTCAGTTACATGCCTTCATTAAGTTCACACGCTTTTGGAACATAGCTCAAAGCAGTGGCTATACTTTTTTTTCATATTGGTATTTGTGGAATATTTTAAGGGTTTTTCCCCCTCCTTATCAGCTCTTAGTCTGCATGAACACTGCATCTACCTTGGTTGCCACCCATCACATACCTAGACATTTCAAAGTGAAAAATGGTAAACAGACAAGAATCTTTGATATGAAGGTGCAGAGTTTCTCTATGAATCATGTTAAGTTACATCCTAGATCCAGGGCTGGTGTGGCACAGACACCAGCCCTTCAGAATGGATGCCAGTGCGCATGTCGTACTGAAGGACTGGTGCCTGTGCCACACCAGTTGTTAAGTGTTTTGAATGCCTTTCTGTACATATGTGAAGCATGTTATCAGCTTTAATGTTTTGGTTATATGCAAATGTCCAGGTGATACTACTGTGTGTCCCATCTTACCCCCCTCCCCCAGTATCTGGCAAAGTCAGGGTTAATCAAACATTTTTGAATTCTGGAGTTTGAGTGACTTGTGTCATTTTAGTGGAGGATTATATTCACGCAATAACTGACTATCTCCTTTCCTGTTCCTGCTCCTGTTCTGTTTCTGTTCTTGCTTTGCCCTGCATATGTCCGCCAGACCGTCACTTTGTACCTGCCTATAGGATTTAAGGATCTCATTCCTCTAACCAGCGACAAGAGGATATATCACTGCAGATATTACTGTCATCACTAATAAGGATTACTGGTACCTGACATAGCTAATAAGAAAGCCTACTGAAGGTTAATTTTGAAAACAGCTTTGTAGTCCTTGACTGTATTTTTCTGTTTCCCTTTTCAGCTAGGAACTATAAGGCCCCAACCTGAAGATTTGCCTCCCTTCTTAGGATTAATGTAAGATTACTTAAGAGGTTTTTAATTTTGAGGGTATGGAAGACCCTTCAAAACCAGACTATGAAAAATAACATCTGAAATAGAATGCATAGTGAAGGTAATTACTTAGTTAAAATTTAAAAAGCAGATTTGGTATAGTTTCAGGGGTCTTTATGTAAATACCAAATATAAACAATGGGATTTTTAAATTAAGTACAAGTTTTTTTATTTTAACTGATTAACTTATCTTTTTAATGAATAATCTTTAACTTACCAAAAATTTGGAGAGAACTGTCCTTATAGACATCTTTAATAATTACTGCCCAATTTACAGAAAATAATTGCTTTTTAAATTTTTTAAAGTATATTTTATTGATTATGCTATTACAGTTGTCCCATTTTTTTCTCCCCTTTTTCCCCCTCTATCCCCCACCAACCCCCCGCCCCCCCTTAGTTCATCTCCATGGGTCATACATATAAGTTCTTTAGCTTCTCCATTTCCTATACTATTCTCAACTCCCTCCATCTATTTTGTACCTACCAATTATGCTTCTTAATCTCTGTACCTTTCCCCCCCTTTTCCTCCCTCCCCCTTCCCACTGTGATTCTGTTCCTGTTCTAGCTGTTTGCTTAGTTTGTGTTTGTTATTGTTTTTCAGGTTCAGTTGTTGATAGTTGTATGTTTGTTGTCATTTTACTGTTCATAGTTTTGATCTTCTTTTTCTTAGATAAGTCCCTTTAACATTTCATATAGTAAGGGCGTGGCGATGATGAAGTCCTTTAACTTTACCTTACCTGGGAAGCACTTTATCTGCCCTTTCATTCTAAATGATAGCTTTGTTGGATGCCTTTCATGACTTGGAATACTTCTTTCCAGCCCCTTCTTGCCTGTAAGGTTTCTTTCGAGAAATCAGCTCTTAGTCTTATGGGAACTCCTTTGTAGGTAATTGTCTCCTTTTCTCTTGCTGCTTTTAAGATCTCTCCTTATTGTTAATCTCAGGTAATTTAATTATGATGTGTATTGGTGTGTACCTCCCTGGGTCCAATTTCTTTGGGACTCTGAGCTTCCTGGACTTCTGGAAGTCTCTTTCCTTCACTAGATTGCGGAAGTTAAGTACAAGTTTTTTAAAGCCCTCAAATTTATCACGAGATTTGGTAGATTGGAACAACTAACTGGATTTTGATTATGGAAAGAATTAAGAGGACTCTGACTGGTGTGGCTCAGTGAGTTGAGCGCCATCTTGCAAACTGCAAGGTTGCCAGGTTCGATTCTCTAGCAGGGCACATGCCTGGGTTGCAGCCCAGGTTCCCATTTGGGAGCATGAGAGAGGCAACTGATGGATGTTTCTCTTGCACATTGATGTTCCTCTCCTCTTTCCCTCCCTTTCTCTCTCTCTCTGAAAAATAAATTAAAGTAAGTAAATAAATAAAATAAAAATACTAAGAATTCAGAAGGCTTCAAGTAGCACTATATGTAATTATCAGAACCCATCAACCTAGTATTAGAAATGGACAATGGAGGTTAAACAGGATTGCAGATATGAGGGATCTATTGAGGATATGTTTGGATTGTGAAAGAAACATGGTGGAAAAACTTTTCTTTGAACATAAAAGGGCATTAACAGTGACTCCTGAAAATTTTCCTAAATCTTAATTTGAGCTGACTTGTACTGCAGCTAATTAAAACGCCTTCAGGGGTTTTTGTTTTTGTTTTTAAATGGAACTTGCCTTTACCTTTGATTAATGATGTGTAATTAGTCTTTCAGTTCTTTGTTTAGTAAATCTCTTGCAATTCATGTGAAGAACATTATGCTTAACA